GTAAAATTCAAAAGATTCATGTTTGTGCGTAAAATATGCATGAATCAAACCGAAAGAAAACAATGCAGTGAGAAGCGCTTTCTCTAGCTATAAGCGCACACACTCACGCACGCACACACACACACACACACACACACAGAGAGAGAGGGGGGGGGGGGGGGACACAGATAGAGAGAGTAAACAGAAAGGGTAAAATATGACCTTTAGGATATTGTGATTTGCCACTCACACAAACACCATGTATTATATTTAGGCCCTACACACACACACACTTTTGTCAACACACACACACATTGCTCTCAGACATCCACACATACTCCGAAACATAATTTTAGATCATTGAGCCATTAAAATGCGTCATAACACACTCCATACTGCCCCTAGTGGAAACCAGGAAAATAAGGTGCATTTCCACCCATAGGGAATACAGATGTAGTGACATCATCTGGTGGAATACACTATAGACGAATCCGGCGAAACTACCGGAAGTAAGCGGGCGCCATTACTGAGCTGTTGCTGGGTAGCGTTGCGCCATTGCCTTCTATTGTTTTAGTTGCAACTTACGTCCACTGGAATAAACAGCTCGCGATTTACGACTGTCACTAACGTTACAACGTTAGCCCTTGTATAATGTCGAGTGGGTAAACAGTTTCTGTTATAAATTGTTTCAATGGTGGCAGTAAAATTTCAATTTTGAAGAGAAAACATTGTGAATACCCCGGGTCGACTGGTGCACACAGATTTCCTGGGCGAGTACAAGACGCGGACATTCGCGTATAATAACAATTATTTAATGACATAAGTAAAAAAAAAATATAATAAATGTGTGATATAGTGATCAGCAAAATCTCCTCTCTTGTTATTTTTTCTATTCAATATGGTCATTAAATGGCTTTCCTGAGCTGAATGTAACGTTATGTGACATAATTGTTCTCCTGCTGTTATATTGACCTCTTTCCATGGTTTAAAAACAGTAGTTGGCCGATATTATGTATACTTTCTAGCTGTAACGTTACCTTACCCATGCCCGTTGCAATGTAAAAATGAGATAAATAATGCACACAAATGAAAAACATGAAATTGTTTATTTGATTTCATTTATTTATTTATTTATTGTTGCCAAATGGACAGATCTTTTATTAGTTTCCTCGGTAGCAAACGTTAGCCTAGCTTGCTTGCCAAGCTATTTTCATAAATAATCTGTAAGATCGTTTGTACCTTCATCTGTGACTGGAGGCCAATGTCTAACATCATCAACCCAACAAATCTGCCTGTAGCTGTCATCAAGGGTGCGTTATCACCTTATCTCCGAGGTTTGTTTTACCGGTGCATATGTCTATGCCGGTGTAACAGCTCAGTAATGGCGTCGCCACAAGATGGCAGCCTACACAAGAACGCTCGTCGGATTCGTCTATATAATGCAAATATAATGCTTTTGCTTCAAAATGAAAGGATGTTTGAGCAAAAATCATGTTTCATGTATTACTGACAGCCTCGGATTTAAACAACGTTTTAATGGGTTTCAATGGGCCATTTTTGGTCTTTATGGTGCTGAGTGTTACTATTTGATCTACACAGTGTGTGTTATACATATTTTGCAAATTTGGATCACATTTTTTACATTTATCCAAAAAGTCACAATTTTGCCAAATTACATATCATTTGCATTAAAACAGCCAAAATGGTCAAAGAAATTAAACTGCAAAAGACCAAAAATGTCCCTAATGCAGCATAAGGGTTAATGTTGTAGAGGTCTTTTTCATCACTATTCTGAGGCTCAAATCCCATCAAATTGAAAGTCAACACAAAATGTAATTCAAAACGCAGTAAACTTGTCAGGAATAAGGTGGATAGGTCTACATAATGGTGTAGTTCATCTAGCAGCCTCTGTATAGAGCGCCATCTAGTGTTCAAAATAAGACATCACATCAGGAACAATAATCTCCTTTAAAGTGATACTTCACCCAAAAATGAAATTTCTGTCCTCATTTAGGCTACTCACCCTCAAGTTGTTGCAAACCTGTGTGAGTTTCTCTCTTCTGCTGAACACAAAGGAAGATATTTTGAAGAATGATTGGAACCAAACAGTTGATGGACCCCATTGACTTCCATAGTAGAAAAAAAAAAATACTATGGGAATCAATGGTGCCGTACAACTGTTTGCTTCTAATCGTCCTTCAGTTCCAACTAAAGAGTGCAACGGGGCTGGAAAACCCAGTTGATTCCACTAGAGGTTGGTTATTTGTGCAATTTAGCAATTTATTTACTGTCGGATTGATCTCAAAATACTGAAGTGTATTTTAACATTCCTAACTACATTACACTTACTAATGGCAGAAACACTGAAGCTCTTTATAACTCTGATGATCTGTAGTTTGTGATTCTGGTGTGTGTGTGATGGTCAGAGATCCAGTCTGATGATCCAGCTTCAGTCTTTCACTCTCAGACAAACATGTCTCATGATCTTAATGCACATTCAACACACACCCTAATGTCTAAGCATCACAGGACAATCTCTAGAATTTGATAGTGTTACATTTAACTAAATTGATATAAAATTATTCATTTTTTAAAACAAAAGAATAAATACTAAACTTGTGAATGGCAGTGTTAAATATAATCGTGTTTCAAACTTTTTCCTGTCTCTGTGTGAAACGGTTCCTCATCACGTTTATGTAGATTCAAGTTCAAAGCTGTTCATACAGAAGCAGGACCGGAAGAAACTCTTTACCTACACACTCTCACACACTAAATGTCTGCTGTCTCATGCACAAGATGATTGTCCAACCAACTGATCAAACCACATCGCTAAAGAAAAAGAAAACCCTGCAAGATGAACGTCAGTAAAACTGACACAATAAGATCAGAACATTTATCACTTTGCAATAGTTTTTTCATAAGTGATAAGTGATTTTATAATCACAAGAGTTATACTTTTGGCCATGTAACAGAGTCACAACTATACTTTTTCAAAGTTGTTAAATGATAAACATAAATAATATCACACATTAAGAACAGTTAATAACATCCAGATGAAGTTCAACATTATGGAAATAGTGAAACTAGGCGGGTCAAACTGTGTTGTGGGAGGATACAAACACAATCACATATAGACTGAGTGTTTCCAGCAGATAGTTTCATCACACGCTGACCTACTGGAGATACGTTTAACATGTTTTTCACATTCGTTTTATTCTGTTTGTGCTGGTGCCGTTTGATTGGTAAGTCATAAACACATTTTTATGGTTTAATTGCTTTTTTTTTCATTTCAGAGTAATACAGTGTCTGCTATGCTAGGAAAAAAGGTACAAAAAGCTGTCAGGTACAGTAATATAATCATTTAGGTACTAATATATACCTTTAAGATACTAATAAGTATCCTTTAGGGATTAATAAGTGAAAGGGGCTCATTACAGTCACAGGTTTTACACATTTTTTTCTGACAGTATCCGTTCAGATTAGATTATTTTCATCAGCCGTTATGTGTGAAATTAATCATAAATATTGTGAAATCTACGAACTTTGAATTTTGTCTTTGTTCAGAATTGTAACTGAAATATTCAGATCTGGGAAGGTAAAATAATTGCCTCTATTTATTTTTATTTTTTTTAAATACATCTAGACATTTCATAAAAATGCATTAGTCAAGTCTTTTTTTATTTAAAATAAAGTATTGAAATATCCAACACAATACAATTGTACAGTACTTTAAATTTTGTGTAATTATTTACATTTATTTTGAATAAATTATGTACCCAGATTTGATTTAACATAGATTAAATATTAAGGATCTGCTGCACCATATGTTTTACACTTTCATTTATATTAAATCACAATTACGGACTTAAATTAAAACTATCATTTTGATCCAGGTTTTACTTAAAATATATTTTCATTACACAAGCTGTTTCCTCTCTCTGCTTAATTCTCAGATATTTTACACATTTATTTCCTTTATTAAGAGCTACTGATATAAAAGATTAGTTTCTGGTAGTCAAAAAGGAAATTGAATAATAACATTGTCGATGTTTAATTATAATGTTGGACGAAATGAACCATAAATGAAAGTTTTATTCACAGATTAATTTCTAATCCCTGATTTGTTAATCTGAGTTTAGCATTAAGTGATGCAACAAACTGTCTGTTCATAATTCTCACTTTTTAGTTTTGTGTTTCTGCTGATAGTCTGAATGTTCTCAACTTTAAATGTAAAAGATAAAATCTTCATCTGATTTCAGGCTTTTGTAAACTATCAGAAACATTAATCTGTGTAAATCTGTGTGTTCATCAGGTGTGTTTGGTGATTCAGTGTCAGTGATGGAGGGAGATTCTGTTACTCTAAACACTGATATCACTGAAATACATGAAGATGACTACATACTGTGGATATATGGACCTGAAAAGTCTATCATAGCTAAAATCAGCATTGAGAATCGAATCTTCTCCACACATGATGTTCCTGATGGGAGATTCAGAGACAGACTGAAGCTGGACGATCAAACTGGATCTCTGACCATCACACACACCACAACTGAACACACTGGAGTTTATACACTAGAGATAAAGGGAGCGAAACTGACATCAAAAACATTCAGTGTTTCTGTCTATGGTGAGTAGAGATGTCATTTATCTAAACTTAATTGTACATAATCTATTTACATACATACATTAAATAATTGTATAGTTTGAGCTGACAGACACATTCAGTGACAGTTAAACACTAAACTCTCACTCAACACAAACTACAATTCACAACACATAAACTAGACTGATTATTCATATTTCTCTTTATTCTCTCATGTTTCTCAGCTCGTCTGCCTGTTCCTGTCATCATCAGTAACTCTTCACACTGTCCTTCATCATCATCATCATGTTCAGTGGTGTGTTCATCATCAGTGTTGAGTGTGTGTGATGCGACTCTGTCCTGGTACGCAGGAATGAGTGTATTGTCCAGCATCAGTGTGTGTGATCTCAGCATCAGTCTCTCTCTACCTCTGGAGGTGGAATATCAGGATAAAAACACCTACAGCTGTGTGCTGAACAATCCCATCAGCAACCAGACCACACATCTGGACATCAACACACTCTGCAGACACACATGTGCAGGTACACCACCACTCATCAGATACGTGTGTGTGTTTACTGACCTGATCTCTTCTGGTGTAGATCACACTAATGCGTTCACTTCTTTCTTCATCATTACACGGACACACACACTCCTCCTCTTCCTCCAGTGTCTCTGATAGTGTTGATCTCGGCTGGATCTCTGATGATTGTTGCTGGATTTTGGATCTTCTGGATCTGCAGGAAACACACAAAAACTGATTCAAAAGGTAAGTGTTTTCTACTGCTTTTAACAAGTGTTATATCAAAATAGCAATAATAATTATTATAGTAGACTTTGAAAGCCCAAAAAACACATTGTAAAAAATAGTTTTGTAGTTTTAATCTCTTCCTGTTGTTCAAACAGTTCAGATTCGTGAAGATGAGAAAACTTGTGTTGTTATGTCACTTCATCCATCGTTCAATGAAAGAAACACACAAACATCGGTAAGATCATTTATCATTAGTTTCTGTTGTGTGTGTTTGTCTCATTCAGAAGTGAGTCAGATGGAAATCAGTGTGTGATTGTGTATATTGTCTATAATCATCATCACATATCAGATATTTTCTTTATTCAATGTAGTTTCAAAAGCTATTTTACTGTTAACACTATTATACAAGATATCTGAGTAAAAGTCATTATAATTAATTTATTGTCTTGTGGCATTGACACAGAGGTAAATCAAAGGAGTCAGATTATGTTACTTTCATATTGTGTTTGATCACATCATATTTTTTTGTTGCAAATAATAAGTCATTTGAAAAACGAACAAATAGAATATTTTATTATTATTATTTTATTATTATTATTATTAAAGACATTAATGAAATACAACTGTTTAATTGTGCAAACGAAAGAACAATAAAACAAAACCTTAACTTTTAAAGGGAGAAATACATTTAAACTACTGTATTCAGATACAAAACTCATCAGTTCAGATTAATATTAATCTAATATTGGTCACACTTGTGTTTGGTATTTAGGCATTTGCAAAATTGTTAATTTTGCCATTCAGCTTTTCTTATGGTTATGATCTAACATAGTTAGGCCAGGGCTGTGTTTCCCAAAAGCATTGTAGGAGTAAGTTGATCATAGAATAGCCCTTGATGGCAATTGCTCTATCAACTGTGGCTAGTTTGGGAAACGCAGCCCTGTGCAGTTCATGCTAATGTTATTACATTTAAATATTGGATCTTCTTTTTTAAAACGCTGATATTATAATTTAAATATCTTATTATATCTCGTGTGATGTCTTTTACAGAAAGCTGAAGTGAAGAATGTGTCTGTCATGAGAAGAGATAGAAGAGAAGTTTCCCTTTGGGAATAATCAGGAAATCCCAGCGGACAAACAGCGGGATCATTGTGACGGGTCCCAAGACTTCAACAGACTTTCAATTATTTGTAACACAAGGACTTTTACTTAACAAGACTTTTACGGCCCACAGGAGCATTTTCATGTTTGACTCTTAATTCAGATAATGTGCGCAAAATTCTCATCAAAAGAAAGCCCTGAAAACCTTATATGATTATAAATATGAAAATATTAGGCTTATTGATATTAAAAGGAATACATTTATTCATGATCTTATGCTGTATACTCATGCTTTACTATGCAGTAGTTTCAGTTATTTCCAGCAAGAGGAGCAGAAGCTGCATATATCACATCCTATTTTAAGATTCCTGTTTTTGCCTGTCAGTGTCATTTTAAGAATAAATTCAATGTCTGACTCACTAGCCATGTTTCCATCCACTTGTCAATCGAATTATCTGAAATTCGGTTAAAAAACTCATGCGGATAAAGCTGGTGAAAGTGTTTCCATCCAACGGCTTTAAAGCGAATAAAAACCTGTACGTAATGACGTCACATGCATGCATCAAATTGGTATATCGAATTGATTTGAGACATTTTAAGGTGTTTCCATTTATTTTCGAACTGAATCGAACAACATTCAAGCAACTTTTGCGAACAAAGTTTTGTTAGACAAAACGGATCGCGCCATCTACCAAAAAAATGATCAATATTTCACAAGTTGAAGGCTAATAATGCTTATGTGCCAGCTGATTGCGACATATGAATGGGATAATGTATGCGAGGCGGTTGTTGGTTGTATTCGCTATAACAACCGCTCATATATTATCCTCCCAGATAGCAAACTGACATTGAATCAACGTGGAAATATGACATCGAAACAACGTTGATCTGACATTGTTTTGCTCATCGAATTAACGTTGAACCAACGTCAGACGCGTCATTCTTTCAAAACTAACGGAAAATCAACTTGAAATCAATGCGTTGTTTCAACGTTATGAAAGCAAACCAATTTTCGATTTCATTTAGCTTTGAAGAATGCCGCGTCTGACGTTGGTTCAACGTTAATTCGATGAGCAAAATCAACGTTGTTTCAATGTCATGAGAGACGTCGTTTCCACGTTGATTCAATGTCAGTTTGCTATCTGGGCTGCTTATTAGCCTACATATAAATCAACCAAATAAATAAATAAATCAATAATTTGACACAAAATATTGACTTAAAAACGAGTTTATTGATTTAAAAACGAGTATTGCTTCTGCTAAAGAAAATAGTCTGTTCCGTCTCTGAACTGCGTCCATGGCAACGGTGTGTTATACTAACAGCGCCGCAGTCTGTTAACTAGAAATAACAGACCACATTCTACATTACAATTCAACCAAGCCACGTAAAAACAAGCAAAACTAACCTAAGAAAACAGCGACGCTATAAACATTGCTATGATGATGACGATGCACGTATGCCCGACGACAGCGGAGGTGACTGTGGTTTGGGAACGACAGCGCTCCATCAGTTCTGGGAGATCGTGGTTCACGGAAACCCTTTGGTTGAAGCATCTTTTTGCTTTGTCCACTTACATCTGTCTTTGTTGACATCCGCCATGTGTGCGCAAACAGACTGGCCGGAAATGAACTCGTCTTCTGACGTGTTGCAACCATAAAAGGGCATAAAACTTAATCGCAATTCATTATTTATTCGGCAAATAACGTTTCCATCAGCTTTTATCGCATTAGCCGTATATCGATCAAGAGAAAATCCGATGAGACCGAACGTATTTCATTTGAGTCGATTTTCATGAAATTTCATCGAATTTTACTGTTTCCATAAGGCATTTTTCATTCGATATCACTTAATTCGGATAAAAACGTGTCGATGGAAACATGGCTACAGTTGTACATTCACCTAAATGATTATGAGGAACAGCTGTTCAATTTAAAATCTAATCAACCAATCACATGGCGGTTGCTTCAATGCATTTCAATGCAAGGGTGTGGTCCTGGTCAAGACAATCTCCTGAACTCCAAACTGAATGTCAGAATGGGAAAGAAAGGTGATTTAAGCAATTTTGAGTGTGGCATGGTTGTTGGTGCCAGACGGGCCGGTCTGAGTATTTACAATCTGCTCAGTTACTGGGATTTTCATGCATAACCATTTCTAGGGTTTACAAAGAATGGTGTAAAAAGGGAAAAGCATCCAGTATGCGGCAGTCCTGTGGGAGAAAATGCCTTGTTGATGCGAGAGGTCAGAGGAGAATGGGACGACTGATTCAAGCTGATAGAAGAGACACTTTGACTGAAATAACCACTCGTTACAACCGAGGTATGCAGCAAAGCATTTGTGAAGCCACAACACACACAACCTTGAGGCGGATGGGCTACAACAGCAGAAGACCCCACCGGGTACCACTCATCTCCACTACAAATAGGAAAAAGAGGCGACAATTTACAAAATTGGACAGTTGAAGACTGGAAAAATGTTGCCTGGTCTGATGAGTCTCGATTTCTGTTGAGACATTCAGATGGTAGAGTCAGAATTTGGCGTAAACAGAATGAGAACATGGATCCATCATGCCTTGTTACCACTGTGCAGGCTGGTGGTGGTGGTGTAATGGTATGGGGGGTATATATATGTGCATATAAATGTATGTGTGTGTGTATGTATATATATATATATATATATATATATAGTTTTTTGTGCTTTATATATGTAGGCCTACTTTTCTTGGGATCTTTTTCATCTGTTTATCCTCCAGGAAGTAAAAATGATGCGTCTGACATGTGCACAATGACGATAAAGGAAGTATACATACTAAAAACCTTTCCAAAAATTAGCGCCACCATATAAGTAGGCCATATTAAATAAAAACCAATTAAAATTACAGTCGATAAGACACTATTATTGCTAAGGACCTGAGAGCACAAACTTTAGTATGTGAAAGTGTACATAGGCTATATATAAACTATTAACACTCTCTCTATAAGCACTTTCACATTCTAAAGGTAACATAGATTAGCTTGTCTGTCCATCACGGCACATGTTAGCGGGTGGGATATATTAGGCAGCAAGTGAACATTTTGTCCACAAAGTTGATGTGTTAGAAGCAGGAAAAATGGGCAAGCGTAAAGATTTGAGCGAGTTTGACACGGGCCAGATTGTGAAGGCCAGACGCCTGGGTCTGAGCATCTCCAAAACTGCAGCTCTTGTGGGGTGTTCGCGGTCAAAATAAAAATATGAAATAAAATAAAAACTTATAATGGCAGTGTTAAATTTGATCGTTGTGTTTCAAGTGTTTTCCTGTCTCTGTGTGAAACGGTTCCTCATCACGTTTCTGTAGATTAAAGTTCAAAGCTGTTCATACAGAAGCAGGTCAGGAAGAAACTCTTTACCTACAAACTAACACAAACACACACACACCGAATGCCTAGTCTCGCATTTAAAATGTCCGTTCACCCAACTGATCAAACCACAAAGAAAGAAAGAAAGAAAAAAAGCAGCAGGTTTCAGTTTGACTCAGAATCTGAATGTCAGTAAACTATGAGACCATACACGCTTTTAATGTTGTACTTTCCCCCAAACACACTATAGTTGAGAACTGAATAAATATATGCAACAATCTTAAATTAGAGATACTCTCTTACCATGAAATGTAGTGGTAACACTTTACAATAAGGCTCATTAGTTAACAAACTACATTAGTTAGCATAAAGTAATAATGAACAGCATTTATTAATCTTTGTAAACGTTCATTTCAATACTAATACGTTATTAAAATCTTAATGCGCTGTGAACTAACATGAACAAACAATGAACAGCTTGATATTTATGAACTAACATCAACGAAGATTAACAAATATTGTAACAAATGTATTGCTCATAGTTAGTTCATGTTACTTTAACTAATGTTAACTAATGAAATTTAATGTAAAGTGTTACCAATGTAGTTTTTATATGACATATGTATATGTAACATGTGCATACGTGTGTGTGTGTATTAGGAGGGTCAGACTTTGTTGGGGGAGGATTCACAAGCTTGTGTTTGTAAAGATCTGTTGTGCTTTCATTGATAGTCTTATTAGACTGAACAGCTGCAAATGTTTCACGTGTTTGTTTTGTTCTGTTTGTGCGCCGGGCGTCAGATCGGTAAGTTATAAACATATTTGTGACGTTTATTTACATATCAAGAGTAATTAACTCCTGCATCGGTTAGAGGAAGTTATTTTCATCCACGGCGATCAAGTCTCTCTTGATGTTTTAGGAATTTTATTTTCAATAATTACAAATGCAAATCCTCCCATGAAATGTTTAATTAATAATAAAAAGTAATCATAAACAACTACAAAAGTTCAGAAATTCAGTCATTTAAAATGTGTTGAATATATCCAGCATATTTAAACTTGTACTTTCAAGCTGTAATTAATTTATCATATCATTTTTATCTGATTCCTCAGATCATTTTAAAAACATTCAAACACGAAATGATTGATTCTCTCACGTTTGTCTGTTCACTTACGTTACTTTTCATTTAGTGTTGTGTCTCTACTGCTGTTAAAGGTTGCAAACTGATCTCAGGCTTTCTAAACCAACATGACATTTACATTTGACACAAGACATGATCTTGGCGTTGCAAGCGCTACAGCTACATGAGCATTAATCTGAAAACCTGTTCATGTTCTCCAGGTGTGTGTGCTGCCGAAACGAATGAAATACAGTCAGTGTCAGTGATGGAGGGAGATTCTGTTACTCTACACACTGATCTCACTGAAATACATGAAGGGCACTTCAGCATACTGTGGAAATATGGACCTGAAAAGTATTTTATAGCTGAAATCAGTAGAAAACATGGGATCTCCACATATGATGATGTTCCTGATGGGAGATTCAGAGACAGACTGAAGCTGGACAATCAAACTGGATCTCTGACCATCACACACACCACAACTGAACACACTGGAGTTTATAGACTAGAGATAATTATAGCAAAACTGACATCAAAATCATTCAGTGTTTCTGTCTATGGTGAGTAGAGATGAAATTCCTGCTGTGCTTGTTTTATTAGCTATTTACATATTGTAATGTTTATTTATGTTATAGTTTGAGACAGACATAATCACTGCTCATCAACACAATGAACCAATAATAACAGTGTAGATTTATCCATATTTCTGCTTATTTATCTCATCTTTCTCAGCTCGTCTGCCTGTTCCTGTCATCATCAGAGACTGCTCTTCATCATCATCATGTTCAGTGGTGTGTTCAGTGTTGAATGTGAGTGATGCGACTCTGTCCTGGTACGCAGGAATGAGTGTATTGTCCAGCATCAGTGTGTGTGATCTCAGCATCAGTCTCTCTCTACCTCTGGAGGTGGAATATCAGGATAAAAACACCTACAGCTGTGTGCTGAACAATCCCATCAGCAACCAGACCACACATCTGGACATCAACACACTCTGCAGACACACATGTGCAGGTACACCACCACTCATCATATTAGTTGATATTAACGTTTATTGACTGACCTGATCTCAGTTTGATGTTTTTATTCCTCAGACTCTGTCCACTGTTGTGGTCCTACTGAAGCTGTGATCCGATTGGTCCTCTCTGCTCTGGTGGGCGTGGCTACTGTCATTTTTCTGGTTTATGACATCAGATCCAGAAGAGCTGAACAAGATCAAGCACATATTCACACATTGGGACAGTAAATGAATATCATTCTCAAACAATTCAATCATCTATTGATCTTCATTTTGAATGGCTTTATATATTAAAGGGATAGTTCACTTTGAAATAAATTTTTGATTTGTTTTAGCTTACGTCAAGGGCATCCAAGATGTAGGTGTCTTTGTTTCCGCAGTATTTTCAATTTTGATATTTTTAGGTCAAACCGTTCTTGTCTATCAGTCATATAATGGAGGTCTATGGTCACCACCTCAAAGAGCATGCACAGAGAAGTCCAAATTAAACATGATTGAATGACTCGTAAATGTAAGTACACATTGATGGTCTAAGACACGAAACGAGCGGTTTGTGTGAGAAAACGAACAATATTTAATATCGTTTTTACCTCGTGTAATCACAGCCACGTCCAACTGATCTGAGGGCGCGGGCGCTTCGGTCTGCGCATGCGCCGGTAGTGATCTCTCTCGCGTGTACGTCACTCATTGTTTACACAGAGATTTCGGACGTTACCTTTCACTGTAAAGATCTAAACATATTTCGATATACAGGAAATCACAATGGAAGACGATTTCGATACATCTAAATATGTTTAGTGAAAGGTAAAACTTCTGAAATCTCTGTGTAAACAATGAGTGACGTCGACGCGCAAGCGATCACTTCAGGCGGAACGTTGGACACGGTTTTATTATTATCTTATTACCTCACATATAGCGTCTCATGCTTTGATACGCAGGACTTTCAGTAGCCGACTTATATCCTGTAAGAGTAGCAGCAGCTTCTTAACATCCTTTTACACACACACACACACACATACACACACACACGCAAACACACACATAAAGATCATCTAGATTCTAGAATGGAAGCAATGAACAAATGTAGTAATTTTCATAAACAAACGAGTCGACCTCTTCTAGTCTCCAGATATGCTCAGGTTCTCCTTCACTGCAAGTCTGTGGGATGTTTTTCACCTGTTTATCGTCCAGCAAATGTAAATGTTGAGATTTGACAACACAATGATCATATAGTAAGCCATATATTAAGCCATATGCATATTAGAGTATCTTCTAGTATACAAGTATGCTTTTAAAATGACAGTTGATTACTCGCTGGGTTTGTATTGCTGGGTAAATGCAACACATGCAAACAAACAGCAGAAGAACGTCATTGATTCACTTTCATTCTCAGATAAATGGAATGAACTTTATTCTCACTTAGTGACACCAGCGAAATCGGCCATCAACCTGTCCATCATCATCAACCTGAAACATGCATGAGTCTCTAGACCTTCAACAACTTTACAAACCACATCCTGATTCACACACTGCATTCATATGTCCAAGAGATCATTGCAAACCTGCAGTAAGTCTTTCACCATCGTGAGATTGTACTCAATAAACCTCTAGAAATGTCTTTAGTCAGATCATAAACAACAGAAAAAGAAAACTGTGTAAAATTACTGCATGCATGTTGACATTTACACCTGTAATAATAAAGCACCTCAGAGGAAACTGAGTACACGAATGTATAAAATGTGTGTTTTTTCTAACGTAATATAAAAGATAATAGCTAAACTATTGAATGGCAGTGTTGTGTGATCATAGTGTGTGTATTGCTTTTCTCAACATGTTTGTGTAGATTAAAAAGACAGGAAGACGCTCTTCACCTACAAACTAAACACACACACACACACACACACCAGCTCTGATGGCCATTTTCTCACCTAAGATGTGTGTGTCCACCAACAGATCAAAACACATTTCTGAAGAAAACCGACCGCAGCAGTTTCAGTCTGACTCGAACATCACTAAACATCACATTTTCCCTACATGTATATATGATTAAAATTGAGAACTGAATAAATAAACAACAATTTTAAAATCACTAGAGTTTTTATTTTACCATGAATAGTAATTAATCCAATATTCAGACAATATTCTTCAATTTTTAAATATTTAACACAGTCAGGAAAGTGAAATTTGAATGCATCATTTTAAATCTATTAAAACAATTATAAAACTAAAGTTGGAATAACTCAGTTTCAATCGGCTTTGGAAAGACGAGGATCTGCTCATAATGAGGAACAGTAAATAACAACGAGTTCACTCACAGTATCTACATCATTCATTCCTGCCGCAGTGCATGCTGGGAACTTGAGTGTCAGCAAGGAGTTTTTTAAATCATGTATATTATTTGTGTGTGTGTGTGTGTGTGTGTGTGTGTGTGTGTAATAGGACAGGAGGGTCAGACTCTGTCGAGTGAGGACTTGCTCAGGCGCCACATTACATCTGTTGTGTTTGTTTAGATCAGTTTTGCTCGTGTTTTTACATCAGGAAATGTTTCACGTGTTTGTTTTGTTCAGTTTGTGCTTCTGCCGTCTGATCGGTAAGTTATAAATATATACTATATATTAATATAAACTCCTGCTGCAGTTCACATTAGATTATTTTCATGTGCCGTGATCAAATCTCTCTTATTGTTTCTGGTATTTTAATTTAAACGATTACAAATGCAAATCCGAAATAAAAAAATTATAATAATAATTTCAATAATTTTAAATACTTCTGCAGAAAATCATAAACAACTACAATAGTCAAATTTAGTAATAAAAATGTGTTAAATATATTCAGCATATTTAATGTTGTAGAGGTCTTTTTCATCACTATTCTGAGGCTCAAATCCCATCAAATTGAAAGTCAACACAAAATTTAATTCAAAACGCAGTAAACTTGTCAGGAATAAGGTGGATAGGTCTACATAATGGTGTAGTTCATCTAGCAGCCTCTGTATAGAGCGCCATCTAGTGTTCAAAATAAGACATCACATCAGGAACAATAATCTCCTTTAAAGTGATACTTCACCCAAAAATGAAATTTCTGTCCTCATTTAGGCTACTCACCCTCAAGTTGTTGCAAACCTGTGTGAGTTTCTCTCTTCTGCTGAACACAAAGGAAGATATTTTGAAGAATGATTGGAACCAAACAGTTGATGGACCCCATTGACTTCCATAGTAGAAAAAAAAATACTATGGGAATCAATGGTGCCGTACAACTGTTTGCTTCCAATCGTCCTTCAGTTCCAACCAAAGAGTGCAACGGGGCTGGAAAACCCAGTTGATCCCAGTAGAGGTTGGTTATTTGAGCAATTTAGCAATTTATTTACTGTCGGATTGATCTCAAAATACTGAAGTGCATTTTAACATTCCTAACTAAATTACACTTACTAATGGCAGAAACACTGAAGCTCTTTATAACTCTGATGATCTGTAGTTTATAGAGTCCACAGTCTGTGATTCTGGTGTGTGTGTGATGGTCAGAGATCCAGTCTGATGATCCAACTTCAGTCTTTCACTCTCAGACAAACATGTCTCATGATCTTAATGCACATTCAACACACACCCTAATGTCTAAGCATCACAGGACAATCTCTAGAATTTGATAGCGTTACATTTAACTAAATTGATAAAATTATTCATTTTTTTAAAACAAAAGAATAAATACTAAACTTGTGAATGGCAGTGTTAAATATAATCGTGTTTCAAACTTTTTCCTGTCTCTGTGTGAAACGGTTCCTCATCACGTTTATGTAGATTAAAGTTCAAAGCTGTTCATACAGAAGCAGGACCGGAAGAAACTCTTTACCTACACACTCTCACACACTAAATGTCTGCTCTCTCATGCACAAGATGATTGTCCACCCAACTGATCAAACCACATCGCTAAAGAAAAACAAAACCCTGCAAGATGAACGTCAGTAACTGACACAATAAGATCAGACACACTTTTTTTTCATAAGTGATTTTGTAATCACAAGAGTTATACTTTTGGCCATGTAACAGAGTCACAACTATACTTTTTCAAAGTTGTTAAATGATAAACATAAATAATATTTCACACATTAAGAACAGTTAATAACATCCAGATGAAGTTCAACATTATGGAAATAGTGAAACTAGGCGGGTCAAACTGTGTTGTGGGAGGATACACACATATAGACTGAGTGTTTCCAGCAGATAGTTTCATCACACACTGACCTACTAGAGATACGTTTAACATGTTTTTCACATTCGTTTTATTCTGTTTGTGCTGGTGCCGTTTGATTGGTAAGTCATAAACACATTTTTATGGTTTCATTGCTTTTTTTTCATTTCAGAGTAATACAGTGTCTGCTATGCTATGGAAAAAAGGTACAAAAAGCTGTCAGGTACAGTAATATAATCATTTAGGTACTAATATATACCTTTAAGATACTGATAAGTATCCTTTAGGGATTAATAAGTGAAAGGGGCTCGTTACAGTTTTGTACCTTTTTTTCTGACAGTATCCGTTCAGATTAGATTATTTTCATCAGCCGTTATGTGTGAAATTAATCATAAATATTGTGAAATCTACAAACTTTGAATTTTGTCTTTGTTCAGAATTGTAACTGAAATATTCAGATCTGGGAAGATAAAATAATTGCCTCCATTTATTTTTATTTTTTTAAATACATCTAAGACATTTCATAAAAATGCATTAGTCAAAATGCGCTAGTCTTTTTTAATTTAAAATAAAGTATTGAAATATCCAACACAATACAATTGTACATTACTTTAAATTTTTTGTAATTATTTACATTTATTTTGAATAAATTATGTAACCAGATTTGATTTAACATAGATTAAATATTAAGGATCTGCAGCACCATATGTATTACACTTTCATTTATATTAAATCACAATTACGGACTTAAATTAAAACTATCATTTTGATCCAGGTTTTACTTAAAATATATTTTCATTACACAAGCTGTTTTCTCTCTCTGCTTAATTCTCAGATATTTTACACATTTATTTCCTTTATTAAGAGCTGCTGATATAAAAGATTAGTCTCTGGTAGTCAAAAAGGAAATTGAATAATAACATTGTCGATGTTTAATTATAATGTTGGACGAAATGAACCGTAAATGAAGGTTTTAATCACAGATTAATTTCTAATCCCTGATTTGTTAATCTGAGTTTAGCATTAAGTGATGCAACAAACTGTCTGTTCATAATTCTCACTTTTTAGTTTTGTGTTTCTGCTGATAGTCTGAATGTTCAAGATAAAATCTTCAGCTGATTTCAGGCTTTGTAAACCACCAGAAACATTAATCTGTGTAAATCTGTGTGTTCATCAGGTGTGTTTGGTGATTCAGTGTCAGTGATGGAGGGAGATTCTGTTACTCTAAACACTGATGATACTGAAATACATGAAGATGAAGATATATTGTGGAAATATGGAGCTGAAAACTCTCTGATAGCTAAAATTAAAAAAAAGAAGCAAATCTTCTCCACATATGATGTTCCTGATGGGAGATTCAGAGACAGACTGAAGCTGGACGATCAAACTGGATCTCTGACCATCACACACACCACAACTGAACACACTGGAGTTTATAGACTAGAGATAATTAGAGCTAAAAAATCATCAAAAACATTCAATGTTTCAGTCTATGGTGAGTAGAGATCATCTGTCCAAACGTTCACATATTCTATTATTTTACTGAAACTACTAAGATTGTTATAATATATACGCTAACTGTTATTTACTAAACATTCACTTCACATTTTTAATTAAACGCATTAAACCACACATTTTTATTCTCTCATGTTTCTCAGCTCGTCTGCCTGTTCCTGTCATCATCAGTAACTCTTCACACTGTCCTTCATCATCATCATCATGTTCAGTGGTGTGTTCATCATCAGTGTTGAGTGTGTGTGATGCGACTCTGTCCTGGTACGCAGGAATGAGTGTATTGTCCAGCATCAGTGTGTGTGATCTCAGCATCAGTCTCTCTCTACCTCTGGAGGTGGAATATCAGGATAAAAACACCTACAGCTGTGTGCTGAACAATCCCATCAGCAACCAGACCACACATCTGGACATCAACACACTCTGCAGACACACATGTGCAGGTACACCACCACTCATCATATATGTGTGTGTGTGTGTGTGTGTTTACTGACCTGATCTCTGTCTTCTGTTGTAGATCACACTGATGCGTTCACTTCTTTCTTTATCATTACAGAACCAGTCGGACCGTCTCCTTCTCCTCATCGTCCTCCTCGTCTTCATCTTCCTCCTCCTCCAGTGTCTCTGATAGTGTTGATCTCGGCTGGATCTCTGATGATTGTTGCTGGATTTTGGATCTTCTGGATCTGCAGGAAACACACAAAAACAGATCGAGAAGGCAAGAGTTTCCTGCTTTTAACAAGTGTTAACAGATAATAATAATAAAAATCTACTCTAAATTATGTTTATCAATAGATAGCCGATTTTATAATTCAATATTTAAATATGTATTTATGTAGGTAATGTTAAATAATTGTTTGGTTATTGGTTTTTGCTTTGATCTGAGAAGCTCTTTACTCGTCTCACATAAAAACTGATTCTGTATTTACATTTTCTCTGGTAATAGTGATGTTTTGTGTGTGAAAAACAATAAAGTCAAATTCCATATTGCTATTTTTAAAATTTCATTATTAAATATATTTAATTTGTTGTGTGCAATAACTTTGACATCCTAATAATCACACATATTGTAAGAAATAAAACAGATCGAGATTAGGTCTTCCTGTTGTTCAAACAGTTCAGATTCGTGAAGATGAGAAAACTTGTGTTGTTATGTCACTTCATCCATCGTTCAATGAAAGATACACGAACATCGGTAAGATAATTTATCATTAGTTTCTGCTGTGTGTGTTTGTCTCATTTTAATGTAAATCCAAAATAAGCCATTTTACTGTTAATGTTGTACCATTTCAGGAAAATTAAACTATAGTTGATTTATCATCCTGTGGCTCTGATGTAACACAGAGGTAAACTAAAAAGAGTGTATTGTAGCTCCTATTTTAACAGATTATGTTTCTTTCATCGCAGTCTCATCCCAAGACGTCATATAACTGACATATAACCATACGTCAACATCCGCCTTTTTAGGGCACCCTTAAACGTCGGTTATATGACGTTATCGGATCCTAACTCTACCCCAGACCTAAACCTACCCCGTCACCTAACCGACGTTAAAGGTAAAGCGTCAGTTGTATGACAGCCTGGGATCGTCTTGTAACCGACGTTTAAGGGGGCCCTAAAAAGGCGGATGTTGACGTATGGTCAAAAGACGTCCCAAGACGTCAGTTATATGACTTCTTGGGATGAGACAGTGTTGTTTCTTTCATATTACAGCCCATTCTCACCCCCAAGGCGTCACCTAACTGACGCCTTGGAAAGCATTTGACCATGCTTCAATATCTGACGCTTTAGGCGCCCTTTAGCGTCAGTTAGATGACGCCCTAGGATCGCGTGTACCCTACCCCCACCCCACACCTAAACCTAACCGCGTCCCAACTGACGCTTTCCTTTAGCGTCAGTTAGATGACGTAGGATCGCGTCATGTAAGTGACGCTAAAGGGCGCCTAAAACGTCAAATATTGAAGCATGGTCAAAGGTGACGCCTTGGGGTGAGAATGCGTTGCATAATATGATTGATCACATTACATATTACTTAGAAAGTAAATTCAAAGTAATTAATTACCACAAAATGATTGCAAGATATTTTATTATAATAAATTAATCAAATATTATGCGTCACAGACAGCAGAGGAAAATTAATAAAATACAACTAACCGCAGGCCGGATTCACATATAGCGCCTAAAACGCGTAGAAAACGCTGGGCGCGCGGCGCGCCGCATTCTCTGTTTTTCCAAAGTGCGGGGGCGGTTGCGCTTCAGTTGGTTCTTGTCACATGACCTATTGTGTGCGTATGGTGCGCTTGCGGTATTCTGAAAAGTTGAGATGTTTTTATCTCGACGCGCATGGAAAAAACGAGCGCGTCGCACCGCGACCGCATCGCTTCCATTATGAGCGCGCATACTGCGCGCCTACATTTGAAATAACGAACTTGAGCGCGCAAAAGACGCGATATGTGAACCGGCCCTTAACTGTGCAAGAGAAAGGACAAAAACTAAACTCATTAAATTGTATACAGAGAAGAAACTCAAACTGTATTCAGACGCAGATTCATGCAGTTCAGGATAATATTAATACAATATCAATCTATTGTTATTTAGGCATTTACAAAATCATCAGTTTTCCCATTCAGCTTGTGTTGATCTGATTTAACATAGTTAGGACTTTGCAGTTCATGCTAATATTTGTTTGTTGTTTTCATTTGAAATATCTCATTATATCTTGTGTGACGTGTTATTCACAGAACGCTGAAGAGGAGAGTCACGTGGAGTGTGTCTGTCAGCAGAAGAAGATGATTCAATATTTCAATATAAAGTAGGCTGATACAATACAGCTGTGGGATCATTTCACTGAAACTTCTACGATCGAGTCAGTGGTATTAAGATTGATATTCAAGGAAATATTCATAATTATCTCATATATAGTGACTCATGCTTTGATACACAGGACTTTTTTTTTACTTTCTGTAGCCGACTTATTTCCTGCAGCAGCAGCTTCTTAACACCCTTTTTCACACACAGACAGACACACACAGACACACACACACACACACACAAATAAAGATCATATCCTGTTTTTGTCAATTCTATAATGGAACCAATGTATAAATGTATGTATGTATAAACAAACGAGTCGACCTCTCCTATAGTCACATATACACTAGACCTCACCTTGGGGTTCTAAGCATGCGTCAAAACCGCCGCCATCTTGGAACAGGGGTCTTGTCATAGGAAGTAGCTAGGTAACGCTGCTATCTCTGCCTTTACTTCGAATTCATTGATGGTGGCGGACTTTTGTGCAGCGTATGAAGTTCACGGATGAAATCTGAACTAGGAAGAATGTTTAAAAAAAAAATAAAAAAAAATTTCTTTCTGGAATCAGTGATAAATACATGTCTGACCGTTGGAACAAACCAAAAAAACAAGAAAAATCACATTCATGATGATTTATGGTGATTTTATTTCCGTTAGACCTGTGTCTACTACATTGACGCTGATGCATTAAAGTGGAGGGGCTCCCCTGTTTCAAGATGGCGGCTCTTTTGACGCATTCATTCCAATGAACTGCCGTAGCCAAGGTGAGGTCTAGTGTATATGTCTATGTCCTATAGTCTCCGGATATGCTCAGGTTCTCCTTCACTGCAAGTCTGTGGGATGTTTTTCACCTGTTTATCGTCCAGCAAGTGTAAATGTTGAGATTTGACAACACAATGATCATATATTAAGCCATATGCATATTAGAGCATCTTCTAGTGTATAAATATACTGTAGGCCTATTAAATAATGCTTTTAAAGTTGATTACTCGCTGGGTTTGTATTGCTGGGTAAATGTAAAGCATGCAAACAAACAGCAGAAGAACGTCATTGATTCACACTTTCATTCTCAGATTAACATGCATGAGTCTCTAGACCTTCAACAACTTTACAAACCACATCCTGATTCACACACTGCATTCATATGTCCAAGAGATCATTGCAAACCTGCAGTAAGTGAAGAGTTCAGATGCAAAAGCCTCTAAATGCCATTTGAAATTTTGTTCTAGAATGACCATTTTTATCAAGCTTGTATATTTAAGTTCAGTAATTTCACTTAAATGACAATTAATAGGTAATCTTCATTGGCATTTAAGTGAAATTACTGAACTTAAATATACAAGCTTGATAAAAATGATAATTTTTAGAAGAAAATTTCAAATGGCATTTAGAGGCTTTTGCATCTGAACTCTTCAAGTCATTCACCATCGTGAGATTGTACTCAATAAACCTCTAGAAATGTCTTTAGTCAGATAATAAACAAAAGAAAAAGAAAACTGTGTAAAATTACTGCATGCATGTTGACATTTACACCTGTAATAATAAACACCTCAGAGGAAACTGAGTACACGAATGTATAAAATGTGTGTGTTTTTTTCTAACGTAATATAAAAGATAATAGCTAAACTATTGAATGGCAGTGTTATATGATCATAGTGTGTGTATTGCTTTTCTCAACATGTTTGTGTAGATTAAAAAGCAAGACAGGAAGACGCTCTTCACCTACAAACTAAACACACACACACACACACCAGCTCTGATGCCCATTTTCTCACCTAAGATGTGTGTGTCCACCAACAGATCAAACACATTTCTGAAGAAAACCCACCGCAGTTTCAGTCTGACTCGAACATCACTAAACCTGCAGATCACACACTTTTAACTCTCTACATTTTCCCTTTATGTATATATGATTAAAATTGAGAACTGAATAAATAAACAACAATTTTAAAATCACTAGAGTTTTTATTTTACCATGAATAGTAATTAATCCAATATTCAGACAATATTCTTGTATTTCTAAATATTTAACACAGTCAGGAAAGTGAAATTTGAATGCATCATTTTAAATCTATTAAAACAATTATAAAACTAAAGTTGGAATAATTCAGTTTCAATCGGCTTTGGAAAGACGAGGATCTGCTCATAATGAGGAACAGTAAATAACAACGAGTTCACTCACAGTATCAACATCATTCATTCATGCCGCAGTGCATGCTGGGAAATTAAAAAAAATATATCATTTGTGTGTGTGCATGTGTGTGTGTGTGTGTGTGTGTGTGTGTGTGTGTGTGTGTGTATGTGTGTAATAGGAGGGTCAGACTCTGTCGAGTGAGGACTTGCTCAGACGCCACATTACATCTGTTGTGTTTGTTTAGATCAGTTTTGCTCGTGTTTTTACATCAGGAAATGTTTCACGTGTTTGTTTTGTTCAGTTTGTGCTTCTGCCGTCTGATCGGTAAGTTATAAATATTCATATCTCAGAGTAATAAACTCCTGCTGCAGTTCACATTAGATTATTTTCATCTGCCGTGATCAAATCTCTCTTGTTGTTTCTGGTATTTTAATTTAAATGATTACAGATGCAAATCCTCCCTAGAAATTGGAAGAAAAAAAATTATAATTTCAATAATTTTAAATACTTCTGCAGTAATCATAAACAACTACAAAAGTCAAATTCAGTAATAAAACATGTGTTGAATATATTCAGCATCTTGTTATTTCAAGCTATATTTAATTTAACATATTTTTTTTTTATCTCGCTCTACAGTAGATCATTTTAAAACACAATAAAGATCAAATTATTGATTCTTATATGTGACTTTTCATTTTGTTTGGTGTCTCTTCTACAAAGGTTACAAACAGATCTCAGGCTTTCTAAACCAACAGCATTAATTAATCATGTTTTTTTTTTCTCCAGGTGTTTTTGCTGCCGAAACAAATGAAATACAGTCGGTGTCCGTGACGGAGGGAGATTCTGTTACTCTACACACTGGTGTTACTGAAATATATAAAGAAAATATACTGTGGAAATATAGAGCTGAAAAGTACACTATAGCTGAAATCCTTAAAATATATGGATTATTCTACACATATGATGATGTTCCTGATGGGATATTCAGAGACAGACTGAAGCTGGACGATCAAACTGGATCTCTGACCATCACACACACCACAACTGAACACACTGGAGTTTATAAACTAGAGATAAGGGGAGTGAATCTGACATCAAAAACATTCAATGTTTCTGTCTATGGTGAGATGATGAATTCCTGCTGTGCTTCTTGTTTTATTATCCATTTACATGCATTTACATATTTAAATATTTGTAATAGTTTAGGAGGACAGACATAATCACTGCTCATCAACACAATGAACCAAAATTATCCATATTTCTGTTTATTTATCTTATATTTCTCAGCTCGTCTGCCTGTTCCTGTCATCATCAGTAACTCTTCACACTGTTCATCATCATCATCATCATCAAATTGTTCACTGCTGTGTTCGGTGTATAATGTGAGTGGCGCGACTCTTTCCTGGTACGCAGGAATGAGTGTATTGTCCAGCATCAGTGTGTGTGATCTCAGCATCAGTCTCTCTCTACCTCTGGAGGTGGAATATCAGGATAAAAACACCTACAGCTGTGTGCTGAACAATCCCATCAGCAACCAGACCACACATCTGGACATCAACACACACTGCAGACACACATGTGCAGGTACAGCACCACTCATCATATATGTGTGTGTTTACTGACCTGATCTTCTGTTGTAGATCACACTGATGCGTTCACTTCTTTCTTCATCATTACAGACCCAGTGTCAGTGTCTCTGATAGTGTTGATCTCGGCTGGATCTCTGATGATTGTTGCAGGATTTTGGATCTTCTGGATCCGCAGGAAATGTAGAACATTTGACAGAGAAGGTAAAGTGTTACATTCAAGTATTATAATAAATAACAATTTTAAAATATACTTGATCGACCTAATTATCATTTAATGAATAATTTCCCCCATAAAATTGTAGTCAACACCTTCCAAATCACTTAAATGAAAAGAAACCAAAATAAATGGTAGTTTTTGTGTTTACCTCGTCTTACACACACAGAGAGAGAGAGACAGATCTAGTTAGTATTGAGTTGTGTTGTTTTAATGCATATATTATTGTTGAAACAGAGACTCGTGCAGAAGAGATCACTTATGCAGATCCAGTGTTCTACAAAAGAAACACACATAACACGGTAAGATCGTTTATTCCTGTCTTATGTCATTATTATTTCAGCAGTGAGAAAGATATAGATAAGTGTGTGCTTGTTTTTGTCTGATCAGTCACACACACCAACGCTATATTATTTATATAAAAGATTAGTATGCATGTGTGTTATATTGATACGAGATCGGATGTTGCATGTTTGTGCGTTGGAGATTAATATTTAGTAAATACAGCACTTGCTTTGTTCATACTATTGAGGTTAAACAACTGGAGTCAGATGGATGACTTTTTTAATGCATTTACTATCTATTTTTACTTTGAAAAAAACTATATATCGCAACGGAGAAACCTAACATTTATTACTATTATTATTATATCTTGTGTTGTGTTTTTACAGAAAGTAGAAGAGGAGGATAATGTGGTGTATGCACCAATTACAACGAGAAGATCAAATTTAAATTTTACAAGACCCAACTGCGGGATCTACGATGGATTTAAAGTATAATAATTTAAGATAGATTCATGAAATTACCCTGTATTACAAGGACTTTTAACAAATTACCAAACCATCTGACACATTGGGGAATCTTATGTTTTTTTCTCTTTAAGTCTTAAAGTTTATGTGTGTAAATCTCATGAAAAAGTCAAACGTAGATGTAAAACACTGGATTGGAGACTGCTGTGGTCTCTTTTATTGCCTCAGTACACAGATGTAGTTCGATCTGTAGTGCCAGAGCTGTGTGTGTTTGATGTCAGAGAGTGTGTCTGGTGTCCGCAGTGTCTCAGAGGTGTCAATAGCGTGTGGTTGAAGGGTTTTTTTCCATATCCTGCTTACACGAACCATGACTATTTTAAAACATGCTTGACAAAATACTGAACTTATACAAAAAAAAAGTCTCAAACCAATCAAAGATATTACAGTGGAATATGAAAATATCATATTCTTTGTGTGCATATGCATTATGATCTTTCATGCATGCAGTGATCGTGCAGTAAAGAAATACTGGTTTCAGTCGGGGTTTTTTACCAGTTTTAGCAACATTTCCTTCTAAGAAGAACTATTCTTGATAACCCTCTTGATATGTCATATCCTGTTAGCACTATTCCGACGGGGCTAGTTGAGTTACAATTCTTATAACTCAACGTCTGTGATTTCATGCACTAATTTGGACGTGATTAGCATCTTTATGTTTATTACAGAGGAGTGTGTGTTTTCTTAATGTGGGCATTACAGAAGGTCATGTGCTGCGTGCATCACAGATAATGTATGTGTTTTAATTTATTATTTGGTGATATAATTAAAATTTATTATAAAAAAACATACAAGTAAATTTCATGAGTTTATATAAGTGGCTGTAACTTGCATAAGTATTTTTCCACCTTAGAAACATTGCTAAGCTACGTAACATGCTATCTGTTTCTGATGCAGAAAAGTTAGTTCACGCATTCATGACCTCGAGACTAGATTACTGTAATGCTTTGTCCTGCATCCTCAATAAACAAGCTACAGTTAGTGCAAAATGCAGCCGAGTTTTTACTAGATCAAGAAAATATGATCATATAACACCGATTTTATCATCTCTACATTGGTTACCTATTAAGTTCCGTATAAATTACAAAGTACTACTACTGACCTAAAGCCCTAAATGGTTTAGCTCCTGTGTATTTAATGGACCTTCTATCGCCCTAAGATCACTAAATTCAAGGCTTCTGGTCATTCCTAGGATATCTAAGTCCACTAAAGGAGGGAGGGCGTTCTCGCATTAAGCTCCAAAACTCTGGAATAGCCTTCCCGATATGGTTCGAGGCTCTGACTCGTTGTCCCAGTTTAAAACTAGATTAAAGACGCATCTCTTTAGCCAAGCATTCACATGCTTAAATCAGATCGAATGCATTTAATATTATAAAACTTGAAGAGTCTGTTATTTGTAGGCCTATAGGTTGCAGTATTTAAAGTCATTACGTTCCTGTGTGTAGTGCGTGAATGATGGGTGGTTGGGCAGATATAGTGTTTTGCGGTAGGTGGTATGCTATACGGAACTGTTGCCACTGAAACTGCTTTAACGGGGGCTCGACAGCCTTAAGGCCCGTACACACCGGGACGAATATCAGCGCGCGTTATTCGTCAGGGTTTTTCAACGCGTTTTTTGTGTTCACACCCAAGCGTTTTTCGCTGACGATGAGCCGAGTGAACATGCAAATTCATTCCCTGACATTAGATGGCGCTTAATGTAAAACAGAAATAATAATAGAATACTATACTAGGGTGATCATATTCATGTCTCAATGTTTTATTTTGACAGATAGAAAAAAAACGAATGAAATAATGATAGAAATAATGTCTTCTGTATTAGAAAAATAAATATATAAATAATAAATAACTAAAAAATGCCTCCAAATGTAACAAAAAATAGCTCTCACAAACTTACAAAAACGAACTAACAAAATCTATTTATATCTTTAGTTTTCATTTTCTTTATCTTGTTTTTCTTCCTCGTCCACCTTGTTTGCCCATCTATATTTTGCTGTAGAACTGATCTTTCCCAGCAGTTCTTGTTTGAAAACCAGGACATTTTCATCACTCAAACGTTACACTCGTCCTCATACATGATCGAGCGAGAAAAAAAACCAAACAAACAAACATCTGGTCACAATCGAAAAATAAAATAAAAGAAAGAATACAAAGAGTCGGCAGAGCGGTTATCTCCTCTCCTCACTTGTCAAAATCTAACTGACACTATGAACACTATGCGCAGTTCTCATCTCAACTCAGATTTCTATAAAGCACAAAGTGATCGTTTACACATGTCACGGGAAAACAGGACTGTTGGTCACCCTATACTATAGGCCTACTATTATTACACAAATACTAATATAAATATTATAGCTCTTTATACTCCGAGACCAGCAACTCAACATTCATCTTGCCCATAGGTATCTTGCCTTGTACGATATCTCTTCTTCGCCGTATATGTGCTCGGCAAGACCGTTTTGTGTTTGAACGCCCCCAAGTTGTGTTTTACTGTAACGTCAGAAGTACCAGACACGTGAGCAAACCCGCCAATCTCGTTGGTCGGATAGGTTTTGACGCGGCGCGTCAAACCAAAATAACGAACCGAGCGTTTTTTTAAAAATGACGCTTTTACGCGTGGCGTTTTTCGCGTCGGTGTGAACACTCACATTGGCGCCCATTGTTTTGTCACGAGGCGTTAAACGTCGACGAATATCGCGCGCGAAATTCGTCCCGGTGTGAACAGGCCTTTACCGGTTGGCGCGTATGGTTGGGTGGGTTGCGGAGAGATTGTGGTTAGGTCTCAGCAGCAGGTCAGGAGGGATAGAGGTCCGTAAGCTGGGCTGAGTGGAGTGGGGTGATTCTGGGACGTCATAGTCACTGTCTTCAAGTTTTTAACATCTAATCTCGTGTAATAGAAATCATTATGAACAGCAGCTATGCTAATTATTTCCCATTTTCTTTTCTGCGGTTATCTCGGGACGCAAGTCCTGCGGAAAATGGCGTTCGTCAGCTCCAGTTTGTATCCAGCCTCTCACGGAGACGATGCCCCACCACCTGCGATGAGACGACTCAACGCCTGTGAAGAGACGACTTAACGTCGGCGATATGTTATGCCCTAAATTATTACATGATTAACTAAATGTATTTTTCCATGTACATTTCTGAAATGCACTTTCTGTAAAGCTGCTTTGAAAAAAATATGTATTGTGAAAAGCGCTGCACAAATACGTCACTTTGTAGGACAACTCGGACGCTAAGCTAGCGGCGCATGGGTTCCCTCGGTCGAAAAGCAATGCATTTTCCCCATTGACTTTTGGAAAATCGCAAAAAAATAAGATCTGTGTTCAACAAAGGGTTGTGACCCTTTACACGTTTTGTCTATCAAGATAATCTTTACAAGTTAAACCAAAATGTATACATTTTGAAGCCTATAAAGATTTTAAAAAACACAATCAGACACAATATAAAGTTTAAAAAAACACAAGCAGGTTATAACTGTGTGTTCTATATGTCAGATCAAAACGTGAAAATATTTAAAGGCTTTGTTCACCACAGACCTTATTTCAGGCGATTTAGCAAAAACCCATTCAGAGGGAACCGGGAGTGCTAAAATGCTATCTCACTTCCGCGTTTTGGCCTAAAGAGTGACGTCGTAACTAGATTTTATTATTATTATTTTATTATTACTATTTATTTTAATTTTTTTTGCAAACATTGAACATAATATGATAGATGTTAATCTTGTTACTAGTCTTCTCCACTAGATGTCATCCTCTTATACCTTGAATGACAGCATGAAAGACGTTCCAGAGAGCTGAAGAAACTGCCTTGCCAATTTAAGCATTCAAGCACAGGACATAAGACACATCACATCACATATGTTTTTAGTGTTAATCAAACTACAAATGACAAAGAAATCACTCCATGCTCTTCACTGAAACCTTTATGAGATTATGCAGTGTTATATTTCATTTGATTAGGTTGAACCTTAAAAGCACTGACTATTTAATTTGTGTATTTGTTGTATTGTA